CTGCCTTTCTAAATGATGAAACCCATGGGCAGCAGGTGATGAGAAATGCTTTTTAAATTCTGGTAAACACATCTGATAAAGAATCACTTTCTTTCAACTAAAAAGCATGGATATTTTCTGAAGTAAAGCGATGGGTTCTGCTGTAGGGTCTGAAATGTTTTGATAAGGCAAATCAATCATAATGACTCGTCCATAAGTTTCCCACATATCCTCATTCTTTCTGCCAACCAGATTTATCCACAGATCCCATCTTCCCTGATCACTATTGCCATGGACACTGGAGATGGAGCCAACACCTTTCTGCAACACATGAAGATGTCATGTTTCACTTTCTAAGCCCCAGGAAACAACTGAATGGAAATGCACAGATCATCTTGAACTAAATTCATACAAGGCACAATAACAGTGCTCAGAATCAAAACATCTTTGTTGTGGACCAAAATATTTTCCATTAAAGAACTTAAAAACCCTTCTGTATTTTGAAAAGGAAAACACTTTCATTTCTCTTGCCCTCCAACGCCACCTGAATCTGTAAACCTCGATGCTTCCAGCTTAGATCCTGCTGTTTTAACACCTTACCAAGGAACAGGATTCTTGCTACACAAGGCTGCAACACCTCCTTCATTCCATCTTCTTCTTTCACCTTTTCTACTTCCATATATACCATTATCTTTGTTAAGTTTGCTTTCACTCATATACATTGTAGATAAGAATGTATATGTATATGGAATTAACTTATTTTTATGGCTTCATGTGCAGTCTCATCCCCTGCTCCTATCAGGGCAGTTTTAATTATGGAAACAGTCCTCCCACTGACATGTTTGTTGATAATTATCATGCAATAAATAGAAAAGTTTTGTAATGTCATTTTTGGATTTCTTTAAGTATTGTTAAAGGTGTTTTACCTTTCTCCTCCAGACATCACATCAAATATTTTCCTTTAACTGTTTATGGTCTGGTAACTCTGAATGAAAACTGATCTTTTTCATCACTGTGAGTGTCTATGTCAGGAGATGATATTTTGGTAAATGAATGCAGATTTCTCGTTAAAAACTCCTGGAAATGTCCAAGGCCAGGCTGGATGGGGCTTGGAACAACCTGGAATAGTGGAAGGTGTCCTTGCCTGTGGCAGGGGTTGGAGCTGGATGATCTTTAAGGTCCCTTCTGACCTAAATCATTCTGTGATTCTCTGATTCTCAGAGAATCAGAATGAATAGGATATATGGAAGGCCCCAAGGTTCATCATCTCCTTGTCCTCACTTGTTTATCAACCAGAAACATTTTTTGTCTTTTATTGTCAGTAATTCCTATGCAAATGCTCTATTTTGTATTCCCTGCAGATAAGTGGGATGATCAGGAAAGAGGATACACTGCTTCACAACGAATGTCAAGCAAATTAAATGCCATATCAACTGAGGCAGTTGATTACTGAGTAGCAATCCAGCCCAAAATGGGTCAAATGTGAGGTGGAAATGACCATTTAAAAAAAAAGCAAAACTGAAAGATGTCATGTTGAGCCTATCCCCTGTGCATCTCATGGGTCTTTATGGCTCAGATAAATATTAAGAAATTCATTTGAGAGATAACTGAGCCCTACATCCTCACTACACGTGGCACTGTGGTGACAGAGATGGGACACAGTTTAGTGAAAGCTGTGCCAGTTTCTTTCCATCTCACCCTGGGTACATCCTTTAAAACTCTTTGCTTACTCCACTCAGCACTTTTGCCCCAAAGGAGTATCCATAGGTGGAAATAAAAATATCCCCTAAAGGGATGTCACTGCTCTGCCCCAGAAAACTGCTGTGAAGCAATGGTGTTGCTAAAAGGTTAAGATACAAACCAGAGGAATTATCCATTGCTAAGACAGCTGGGTGTGATTTGAAAAGTAATTTGGGTCCCTTCCACTCTCATAGTTAATAAATGCTATCTCTGCTGCTGGATGTGATCTGGCTGGTGGTGAGAGATGAAAAATCTCCAACAGGCCCGATAAATAACAATATTAACACAAAGAAGCAACGATGCAGATAAATCACAAAATTGACACAAACAAGCCATGTTACAATAAAAACACTGTGCAGTTGGCTACAGAGAAGGGTTTCCAGTCTGGGCTGCCTTTGCCAATGTTTTCCTCCCAACCAGGAGCTGGATGCAAGGCAAGGAGGCAAACAGAGAACAACAGCATGGGATGGAAACAAACTGTCAGTGAGTGTTTGCAGGCTGCTTCCCATGTCAATCACCAGCATGATCCAGGGAACATTTCTGTGTGAGAACAGGCACGTGAGCAATGCTGGGAGGGAGCTGTGCAAAGCTCCTGGTACCTGTGATTACAGGCTCAATGCTCTGATAAATCCTTTCCATGGTTTCACACATACAGGTTTTGGATGTTCATACTCCTCTATTGACTTTCTCTTCCTTTTCTATTTTAAGAGTCACTTTCTCGAAGCTTAGGCAAAGAACAACACTCTGTTTACACAAATCCTGGCTTCAGCAAAATGGGAAGCAACAGCAGAACGTGCAGCCAAGTGTTTTAACTTGGATCCACAAAGATATGTATTAAAAAAGCCAAGAACAGAACAGCCCTCCTGGCAAAGCTCTGGCAGGTGTTTCATATTTCACCCCCTCCCAGGCTGCTGCAGAGTTCTTTGCAATTAAACTTAGATAATAAGAGAAGAAACCAAAAAGTTGCCATCAGAAGTTATATTCACCATATCACTTCCTTCAGAAGAGAGTGGAAGGATAAACAACCTGGAAAAGATCCCAAGGAAGAAAAATAAAAACTTGGCATGCTGGAAAAGCTAAGCTGTTTCTCTTTTTCCCTCCATCCCTCCTTCCTTGTCTCTCCCTCTTTCCTTTGAGCTCTCCACCTCTGATGGGATACTGAGCCACATGCTGCTTCTGTCAGAAGCTCTGAGAGTCAACCAAGTGACTTTCTTTGAAAGAAAACACGCCTGAGGTGAAAAAAAAAAGAAAAAGGAAGGAAAAAAAAAAAAAAAGCTTAGTTAGCTCCACCCTGGCAGTGTAATAACCCTCACAGCTCTCCTCGGGGTGGAAAAAAAATGAAAAGGTTTCCCCAGTGTAGCAGCATGAGTACAAAACCAGTCTGGACACAGGGGCTGCTGAACTGCAGGGTAAGGGGTTCAGGAGGGAAATGTGAATCTTCAATAGGACCTTAAAAAACGAATCATAAAATACATGTAAAAGTGAGGGAAAAGTCTAACTGAATTCTGCATTGCCTGTACCAGTGCAACTGTGGCATCATCTTAAGGCAGAGAGTCTTTCCAGGCCACAACCTCTACACAGGCTGAGCATCACTTGCTTGATTCACCTCATGGCCACACAGGGCTTGGCTCAAGAGTCATGTGAGGAAAACGAGGGGTCCAGCAGGGCTCAGGGAGCCTTGGCAAGAAAAGGCTGGCAGACACCAAAGTCTCATGTCCAGCCGAGACAGCAAAAATAGACAGAGGCAACAACACTGGGATTCAGATTCAGCTCTGATATCAGGAGTTCAGGCAAGGGCAGCTCCACGGTGAACTCCAGGAAAGCAGCATCTTAGGAGGCTGTCTGATACTTCCAGCTGAATGCAGTCCTGCTCCACCACAACCAGGTGGGACAAGAACCTCCTTGGGGCAGGTGCTCCTCGCTGGTCCCACAACTCTGCTCCTAAAGCTCATTCCCCAGAAACTCACAATGCCTGGAGGCCTCAACAGGGATGTGAAGTCCTTTCGTCAATTAGAAAGAAAGATAAAAAGAGAAATACAAAGAAACCAAGCATGCAGGGCCTCAAGGACTTGGCTCTTCAAGAATACAAAAGTTTGAACATTGCCCTTTTCACTGCAAATAGTTCTGCTGCTCCCCCCGCCTTTTTTTTTTTTTTTTTTTTTAATAACAAGTTCAGTGAAACTTTATCTCTTCCTGCCCTAGTAACCCTACTAAATAATCTGCTGTTAGCATGACTCAATTGAGTGGCTTTCAGCTGCTGAAGTCGGTTTTTTTGGCTACTGTTCTTTCATCGGTGCAAATGAAAAAAAAAAAAAAAAGTTTGTAAAAAGCTTTCCCCCTCTGAAAAATATCACACTCCTGGAGATTAAAAGATTAAAGTACAGCCGAAAAGTTGGTTGCTTGCCTTGTAGTTGCAATTAGAAAGGATCCGATTACAGCCAAGAATTTAACTCCATTCTCGTTCAAGGTGCACGCAGGGAGCTCAGCCAGGCTGGGGCTTCCAGTCCCCTGCTCCGAAAGGAAATGCAGCTCAAACACTGCGGAGTGGAGGAGGGATGGACGCCGTTCATTCCTCTTCAACTGCCCAAATCTGCTCCCAAACTTAGCAGCTCTTGTTTCTAGAACATTACAGACTCGACCCCTAAGTGATACGGCCAGCCCCTGAGAAACATCGCATGTAAAACTACTCTTCCGTCTGGCTGTCTTATCATCACATACTGCTGTAACCACGAAACACCTACAAATCATCACTGAGCCCAGCAGGAGAAAGGGTTTTCCCTCCATATTTTCACCAGTTTGTTCACTCTGTTGACTACAACTGTTTGTATTCGGTTTTCATTGTGTTTCTCACTTTCCCCTTTTCTCTGTTATATGAAGATATACACACGGGACAAAATAACGCTCTTTCATAAAGGCAGAAAAATGTGATGGCGAAACCACAAACACTAGCTAGAGTCATCAGGTGTAGAAGCTGAAAGTAATTTAAGGGGGAAAAGAAAAAACAATAAAACACGACTCTCTGAACAAATGTCAAGTTGTTAAAACCCCGCAACATCAGCGCCGATGGCTGCAGCGGAGCGTCCGGGGACAGCGAAATGCCGACAGCACCAAGCAGTGCCCTCAACTTTCCCGGTGCTGCTGCACAGGTTCTCCCTCCGGAGAGGGAGAACTCGGCCCCGGCACATCGCCCTGCAGCGGGACAGCCTGCCCGACCCTGCCCGACCCTGCCCTGCCCTGCCCTGCCCGCGCATCCCCCGCGCATCCCGCTCCGCCCGTGGTACCTGCTGCCCGCGCAGCGCGGCGCGGATCGGCCCGGCTCGGATCAGCCCCGCTAGGCTCGGATCAGCCCCGCTAGGCTCGGCTCGGCTCAGCCCCGCTCGGCTCGGATCAGCCCCGCTCGGCTCGGATCGGCTCAGCCCCGCTAGGCTCGGCTCGGATCAGCCCCGCTAGGCTCGGCTCGGCTCGACTCAGCCCCGCTCGGCTCGGATCAGCCCCGCTCGGCTCAGCCCCGCTCGGTTCGGCTCGGCTCAGCCCTGCTAGGCTCGGCTCGGATCAGTCCGGTTTGGCTCAGTTTAGCTCGGCTTGGCTTGAGCCCAGTCCCACCCGACACAACCCGGCTAAGCACAGCCCAGCTCGGCTCTGCCTGGCTCGGCTAAGCCCGACACAACCCGGCTAAGCACAGCCCAGCTCGGCTCTGCTGAGCTCCGCCCGGCACAGCCCAGCCCAGCCCAGCCCAGCCCGGCTCAGCGCTCCCGCCGCCCCCGCAGGGAAGCAGCGCACTCCGCAGCAACCACCGGGGCTGTCCTCGATGCCTCTTCCTCCTCTTCCTCCTCTTCCTCCTCCTCCTCCTCCTCCTCCTCCTCGCCCTCGGCACCACCCCCCTCTCCGCCCCCCGGTGTCCTCTCGTTTTTGCCCCCAAACGTCCCGATCCGGAGCTGAGCATCGTGTCCGTCCTGCACGGGACCCTGCCGTGGGGCTGGAGCACGGGGTCCCTGCTGCCGACAGTGGCTGCAGTGAGACTTGCTCCCAGAATAACGACATAGGACACCCTGATTTGTTTCTCCAGGCTGCAAAGCACTGTTGTCGTGGCTGGTGAGGGGTGCAGAGGGAACGTCTGCAGAGAAGTCCTTTCCCCATTCATCTCTCCCATTGTGTTATGTTCTTGGACAAAAGTGTTAGAAACCTCAGACCAGGTTGTTGTGTGGAAGAAGGATGGGTGTACCTGTTTGGTGCACCCCTTTCAGGGGCTGAGGGTGTCAAAAGTGAGTTTTGCTCAGGATATTCCCTAGGAGACCTCAGCTCCACAGGAATCATGGTTTCCTCCTGTGCTCTCAGAAGAGGTGTGATGCTGACAGTCATGGATGGGTGGATGTGGAGCAGGAAACTGGCCCAGGAGAATGGGAGAGGAGCCACAAGAAAGAGAGGAAATGTGGTGGTAAGGGATTCTGGAGAAGACAGTGGGAAATCCCCCCATCCTCCAGAGTCACACCAAGCCCACACGTGGGCTTTGCTGACAGACGAATCAATATGATCACAGCTGTAGCAAGGAGACCTGAAGATGTCCTTCACCACTCTGCTGTACCCACAGAAAATATGTTCAGCCGGCTTCAGTGGCTCCAAAGGCTCCAGTGAAGAATCTCAAATAGTATTTCTCTAAAAGGCAAAAGTACAGAACAGGACATCTGCCAGTTCTGTGAAAGATGTTTCGTTTGAGGTCACCCAAATGAGGTGTTTAGAAATTTTAGGGCTTCTAAGTGTTCACTTTGAGCAGGCTAGGATGGCCCTTTGAATATAACTGTGATTATTTTGCCCTTAATGCTGATCTCTAAAATGTAAATTATGCATTAAAATAAAGAAAAGGGAGACAAAGCAAAGAGAAAGGCTGCTGGGATTTTGGGGGAATAGAATTGCCTTCAAAGAGTGGTCCTTTCCTATTTTCTGGGAAAATTACAGCTGATTCTAATATCTATTTCTATCACTGGCAGGAGAGAAAAAGACATTTCATGATGCAGATGATTTTGCATTTTAATTGCTCACACGCCATTAACTTACACATCCATCCTTCCTATCTGCATCAGAGTCCATTTTACTGGGCTGTTGATACCAAAAGTATACAGAATAGGTTCTTTCACCCCAACTGAGGGCAAGCTGCAGATAATTAAAACCCTGTGTCTTCCCATCCCAAGCTTAAGTTTTCAGCCCTCTTGGTTGCTGATACTGTTGCTGAAATTTGCACAGGAACCTGATGTTTAGAGGACCATATCCAGCTGCACTTAGGCTGGGTAGAAGCTTTGGGCAGTGTCCTGGCATATCCCCAGCTGGGATGCAGCCCCAAGGTCTGTCCCCTATTCCCTGACCCCATTATTTCATTCACAGAGGTCAAATCCCATCCCTGAAAGTGTTGAAGACCAGGCTGGATGGGGCTCTGAGTAACCTGGTCTAGTGGAAGGTGTCCCTGACCATGGCAGGGGGTTGGAATGTGATGACCTTTAAGGTCCTTTCCAACCCAAACCATCCTAGGACTCTGTGATTCTGTGATCTGGGGGAACAGAGCATGACACAGCAGGTGGTTACATGAGGATCACTTTGCCTATAGGAACTTGGCAAATGTGCAAATATTTAGGCTCAGGATTAGTGTACATGCATCACACACAGCACAGTGCACCAGGTCACTTACCTCCAATCTGGCAGAAGAAGGTTTGAGCCTTCATCCTCCCCCAGAAAAACACTTGAATGTGCAACAAGAAAATCTCAGATCAGGGAAAATTGTTGGCAAGACAAGCCAAGGATTCCAACGCCTGCTGCAAGGGAAAATAAATCAACATGAGCCCTTCTGAAGGGGCATTCACCCATCGTGTCACTCCAGACCTCTGGTGACAGTTCCACACCTGCCTGTACCAAAGTTGTCCTTCACTGACCTTTCTGTGTAACCTAATCCTTCTTTGCTGGGATTTAAACCCATTTCTTGTTACAGGATTCCAGAACCACAGGATGGTTTGGATTGGAAAGGATCTTTAAAGGCCATCAAGTCCACAGCCCCTGCAACGAGCATGGACATCTTCAAGTCCATCCTGTCTATCAGGGATACAGAGCACAGATTTTCTACTTCCTTCCATTTTTTTTTTCCCATAACAGCTTTTTATTATATTTAAAAGCTGTGGTCTGGGAGGCAGATGCCATATTAATTACCCAGACTCAGGATAATTACCTAGCTGACACAGAGCTTCCACTGAAACACACAATGGCTGCTGTGCATTGTTATTGTCATTTAATTTTACTCTTACAACTAATCAGGCGTCACCTTCTACAACAGATGAGGCCACTCCTGTGGGTGGAGGTATCTGGAAACCAAAAGCCCTTAAAGCTGCATCTTTCTCGTGGAAAATATCACCACAAGCCATCGTGTTTTCTTTCCTGTGTTTGAAAACCACCCACATTTTCAGTAAAAAAAAAAAAAATCCAAAACTGATTGAGCGTTTCACCTGGGCAGTGGGCCTTTCTGAAGAGTTTCATTCTCAAAATATTTGTTTTTCTAAGAGTAGATGTTTGTAATTTTTTGTTATTTTTGAGGAGAAGGTGGGGAAATAACAAGGGAAAATATTTAATAACTGTTGTGAAAGCAGATATAATGTTCTTCTTGGTCTGTGCTTTGAATTCATTGAAATGAATGAATTAATGTGTTTGAAAAATCAAAAATTAAATATAGCAGGTCAAGTTATTTTCGAGCTTTTTGTATTTTTGTTCTTTTCTTTTCACCCTCAAAGGTTTCTATTTCTTCCACAAGTGTGCACTGCATGTTACTATGAGGTTTATTTTACATTTCAGTCTCTTCTAGCAGTGATAAAAGAAAGAGCTTAGAAAGGAGCAGAGAGGTCACTTCATCCCTTTTACCATAGAGTGGGTCCAGCACTTCCCAAACCCCCTGTTCCCATGAGATGTCTGCACAGCTGGAGGTTACACAATTCCAGCTCAGGAGTTCCCTGGCCTGCCCAGAAGAGGACAGGAAATGCAGTGAGCAAATCAAACCACATGCAAAATGCTGTGTGACGGTGCCCATCTCCCAGGCTTTACCAGAAAACATTGAGTAAATCTTTCTACATGGTCCAGCCTGACTTTACTTCCTTGGAACTCCTTGACTGAAGATATGTGTTGTCTCTTTCAAGCTATAAAGAGAAATAAATCAACTGTGGTGCTGGTCCTGTCACTGGTGGTGTTAAAAAAATCCTTCAGATTGTTAGTCTCATGTCAAGGATCAACTGAGCATCTGGTGCTAAATGTGCTCCCAGCCCATAAATAATGTGTTCATCCGTGATTTTATAAAGTTTCAAAATTTTCTATCTGTCATTTTGGGCTCAGTACTCTGGTTTGCCAGCAGCACTCAAAATAATCAATTTAAGCAGGTGTATAAAATGCATTTTAGGGCACAAGCTGAGGGAGGCAAAGCCTCTGCCTGCCTTCACCTGCTGGTTTCCACACTCTGCCTCACTCCTGCCTGTCTCCTTCCTTCCCACTCCAGGCTATGGCTTCCTCACTTTGCTGACTCAACCCATCACCTCACTGAGCTCTCAGCCAGAGCAGCACAACAGCCTGGATGGAAGAAACACAAGCAAAGCAAAACTGAAAAAGGGAAAAAAAAAAACAAAACCAAAAACCAAAAACAAAAGAAAAAAAAGGGTTTGCCCTTTGCCTGTAAGAGGCATCATTTTCACAGGAAATGGCCATGTGAAGGGCTGAGTGATCAGAGGGATGGGGGGAAAGAGGTGGAGGGGTGGGAGTGGGTGAAAACTTCCACATTTCCCAAAGGTTCATAGTGTGGGAGCATAACACTCCAGGTGACACTGCATGAGAGGCAAGCTGCTTTCAAACTGCTGGGAAAATGCAAAGTCACTTGAAATGAAAGCTTCTCTCCTGTCCTGGAGAGCAGTCTCCCATTGCTTGTGTGAAAACAAAATCGCCCCTCTGACTTCTGCAGAGACACCAGCCCTAATAATTCTCCCTGAAACGGGGATCATGGAAAGCCACTCCAAGCTGGGACTGGACGTGACTCTTGACCAGGCTTGGGGACAAAGTGCCTGGTCTGAGGGCTGCAGGACCATTTCTTCTCTTTTGATGACATTAACTAATAACACAGGGAAATCTGAAGCAAAATCAACAGACCAAAATCAGCTTAGAAATCACAGAGCCACAGAATGGCTGAGCTTGGAAAGGACCTCTGGAAAGTCACTTTGTCCAACCCCTTTGCTCAAGCAGGGCCACAGAGACCTGACTGCCCAGGACCATGTCCAGGCAGCTTCTGAATGTCTCCAAGGATGGACAGTCCATCTGAATGACATTGGGGTCTTTTTGTTGTGTATTTATACATTCCCAGGCTTGCCAGTTAAAAGACCTTTCAGTTTCGTTTGGAATCAGTAGAAGGCATTGCCCAGGGAGGTCACAGAGGTTGAGAGATCATCAAGAT